CTTGGAAGAAGGCAGAATTAGAAAACTGATTCCAGCAGGGAGAAAAAAAAAGGATTTCTGTTTTACAGTTTTGAGTTTCAGAAACTGTTTTAACATCAAGAGGGAGCTTGCTTATGGTACCCAATGGGATAAAGCATTTGGACAGCAACCATGTTTTTAAAATAAATGTTCACTCTCCTCTCATCATTGAATCTCTTGTTGTGCAGTGGAGTGGTATTTTTAGGACCTTCTAATACTTCATAGAATCAAAGAATAAAATTCAGTCGAGCAAATTTCCAAGATCTTATTGGCTGTAAAAGATTCATCAATCAGGCAGCATCCCATCTCCAAAGGGCTACAGTAGGGAAAGGCTTTTAAGGCAGGACATGGGACTGAGAAGCAGAAAAAGAAAGATTATTTCGGGCATAGGCAATCTATCTATGGGGAACATACGGGGTCAGTGTATCAGATTATGTCATCTTCCTTTGAGGGCTAGAGAGAGCCCATATGACAGGTTGCCTCATTGGTGCTGACCAAAAAATCTCCTGACTGACTGGTTAAGTCTACATTTCTAGGGGAGACTGAAACTTCATTTAGGTTAGGTATTAAGCCCGGGTTTGAGGGCTTGTCCTAGCATAATTAACCCCATTTCAAACCTATGGTTTTCTTTTTAACAACATTGAAGTTGAAACAAGAAGACCGAGAGAGATGAAGCGATTTGCCTAGAATCACAAAGCAAGCAAAAAAAAAAATCACTTCATTCCAAATCTCCTGTTGTTCAAATGTCCTTCATAACGCCGCCTTTTGCTACAAATGGGCTCTGGGAGTTGGTACCTTTCTTTCTCTAAAACTGAGAGAACATTTGGGAGCCATCTGCAGGGTTTTAATGTAGAAATGCCCTCAGAGGGAGAGGATGCATTTTCTCACTTTTGCGCTTCTTACTGCTTTTCTAACAACCTTTCCCTTTGTGCCTTTTTAGCGCGAAAAGTTTCTCAGAACAGGTGCATTCAGAAGCCTCTCCCTTAGAACTACATTTCCCACAATGCCTCTGGAGAGACCACATGGCTGAGAACTACATTGCCCGAAATGCCAAGGGTCTTTTTTTTTTAGAGGCAGATAAGCTTCCACTCTGAATTCAAAGATCCAGTTTACCCACTCTATAGTCTAGATATAGTCACTTCTTTCCTTTTTCCTGCCAGAAAATTCCGTTCCCAGCTCGAACTTCCGACCCCATTCTCTGGGTGGGAATGCATGAGGAAAAACGTACGCCTAGAATAGAGCGCATGCGCTGACCGGCACCGGGCTTGAGCCCGAAGAGAGGCCGGCAGGTCCCCGGGCTCATCCCGCCTTGCGCGTGCGCAGACGATAAACCAACGCCCCAGTGTGGAGGTGCGGGTTTAGTGGCGCGTTTTAGTGAAGTCGCACGTGAAGGGCAGCGGGGGCCGTAGCCCAGTGAGTGCGAGCCGAGACCAGGACTCGAGGTCAGCATGCGGGACGGGGAGGCGGCAGCTGCTGCAGGCGGGAGCAGGGCGGAACCGCGAGGCCTGGCGAGCAGCAGTGGGGAGGGGGCCGACGTCGCGCGGTGGGGGAAACCAACTGGGGACCCGGCTCCCCGTTGCTAAGCAACAGGGGGCGTCGTTACTAGGTAACACGGAAGGCACGCGTTTCCGGGGAGAAGAGCGTTCCGATAGCTGCTCCGAGGTCCGGGCGAGACCCGGCGGCTGTCAGGCTCGGGGACGAGGCTAGTGCTGAGCCCCTCGCCCCCGACTCTTGCCTATGGCCTAGCATCCCACGGCCTCGCTCCGAGCCCTTTGGGATACTCCCAACCCCCGGGCCGCAGCGCGTCCCTTGCCGGCGACGCCACAAAGCAGGGCTTGGCAGGGGACACGCTGTTCGAAATAGCACATACATGCCACTGACACCCTGTCTCAGAGAGACTGGGTCCTGGAGAGGGCGCGGTACGCCTGGGAAGCTGCCCCTTTGCCTGTCGCCCTGCCCCCAAACAGTTGCCGGGCAGCAGCTGTCCGGGGCTTAGCGGGGGCTGCCCTCACCTGCCAGGACGCTGACTTCATTCTCAGTGGCAGCTTCGCCCTGTCTAGGAGCTTCCTTTCAACTCAGCTGTGCTTTTCGGTGGCCGCTACATATTTGGATCAACTTAAAAATAGCCTCCTCTCCGCATCTCTTCATGGCTCTGCATTGCTACCGACACTGCTTCTTGGCGGGCTTCTAATACTCACTTATTAGTCATTGTTCTGTGCTAGGCGCTGGGGCTTCCAAAAAAAGTTAGCTGTGAAGTCTGAAGGGGAGGTACTCAAAGTAATGGCGGAAGCAGGCATATAAACTGTTAAACTATGCGACAGTGTAATAAGAGATATCTTGGCAATTCGTGTTCTGTAGATGTTTACAGAGTTCTTGCAGAAACATGTTAACTCCTTGCAATAACTCTTAACCTCGCTTGACCCCGTTTTACATTCGAGGAGACGAAAACTCAGGTTAAGTAATAGGCATAAGGTAGTGCTTCTAGTGTGTGACAGAGGTGAGCCTGGGACAGAAGGAAGTCTAGAGTCCTTTGTGCACTACCACACTTTGGGGGTTTTGCCTACAGTAGACTTTTCCCCGTGCTGCTGATCATTTGTGGCAGTTGTCTGGTTATGCATCAGAAATCCCTGAGGAGCTCTAAAAACCAAAGCCTGAACCTATCTGTGGGAGAGTCTGAGTAAGGCAGCCCCGCAAGGAGGCAGACACCTTTGCTTGAACAGACTCTACGGGCTGAGAACCGCTGCTCCCTAGGGACAGCTCCAGCAATGATGGAGAAATCAGGTTCGGCAGAGGGCACTAAGTCAGCTGCCCCTCCTGCCATGTAGTGATTCATAGTGTGGAAGTAAGCTAATGGGAGGAAGAAGACTTGGCAGGGGATGTGTGGACCGCCCCACCCTGCCTGCCCTCAGCAAACCACAGCTAAACATATGCTGCCTTCTCATACCATAGTTCAGTGAAGCAGTTTCCTCAGCTCAGCAGGGTTCTCCTGGCCCTGCCTGAGCCATATTGCAGCTGTCAGAACAAAAGTGGCAGGTCTAGTCCCATATTTTTGCTGGCCTCATACGTCTTGGTGCAAACCCATGACGTGTAAGCCCAGCAGGTGGTTCATCCTCTGGGGTGTGATCTCCTCGTTGCAGGGTCTAGGTGTTCTCTCACTTTGAGATGGTTGACTTTGAGCAGGACTTTAAGCACCTTGAGGACAGGGACCATGTCTTACTAAGGCAGTGTGAGGATGTGGAACGAACCACAGGGTAAGGTTTAGATCCTGGCTTCTGGAGTCAAGTCCCAGTTCTGCTGTGTGAACCTAAACAAGTCACTTGATCTCTCTGAGCCATAGTTTTCTGAGCAAAATGTGTAGAGTAGCAGGACCTTATAAGATTGTTGTAAGAGTTAAATGCAGTGGTGAGATAACAAGCACTTAATTATAAAACAACACACACTATACATACCACACACACAGTTTGTCATGGTTGTGTGCCTCCTGTTTGGCTGAGGTCTAGCATTACAGGAGGTGAAGATGGTTAAGACATACTTCTGCTCAGAGCTCAAGACTGCTTCAGCTCTTGACTGCCATGGCTTCTCTTTAGTCCAAGTATTTGATTGGGCTGAAGTGAGGAGGCATCATGGCCATGGGTCAGATTCTTGCTGAAGAAGAAAGGAGAAGGAATGCTGTGAACACAGTCTGAAGAAGGGGACCAGACAGCTGTCTGCACTCTTACATGCAAAGGGCACATTCCAGACTCCTGTTCGATTTGATTTCTGGTGCCCTTCAGAAGGTCAGCTGACGGGGCAATGCCAGCCTCATCGTGGAGTTTATTTCATGGTCCTCCAGCTCCTTTCAGCTGGAGCAAAGGGACGCCTGAAAGTTGAGGATGGCACAGAACCCAGGAGGCTGCCATGGAGGGAGCAGCTTACATCATCCTGACCTTCTAGAACAGAGGAGATGACATCTGATCCCTCCTGGTGGAGGTCCTTGGATATAGAATCCAACCCAGGATAGCAACCCTGTTCTTTCAGTCCGCAGTCATGACCCAGATAGACCAGGAACTGACCTGAGTGATCCTCATCTCCGACCACTGGTGGCAGGGACCATCTGTTTCCTGATTTGTGCCAAGAAGAATAGAAGGCTTCCCCGTTTGAGGTTGTTTTATATGAACTGCATGTTTGGCAGCCCTGCTTTATCCTCCAGGTCTCAGGAGGGACTTACAGCAGCTGTTTCTGGGCCAAAAGTTGCCCTGAAAGTGATATTTTTATAACCTCTTCTTGGACCCTCCTCCTTCCCACTAAACAAGAATGAGAATATCTTCTCTTCCATCTCGTCCATCCTGACAGCTCCAGATTTCTGGCCAACTCCCTGAGTGCCCTGGTAACTGCACAAACTTCGAACACCTGGCTGCTTCTGCCTCGGGGGCATGGTCTAGCCTCTGCTCATCCGGGCTGAATCATGGAAACTCCCTGGAGCCACAGGTTCATTTCTGAGCCTGGAAGAGAACAGGGGATTTACTAGTAGGGTTTGACTTTTCTCAAGCATGGTGGCAAGTAGAAGTTGGAACTGAAAACATTTTTCTTGGCTGCATCCACACATATTTCAATGAGTTGGTACTTGTTGGGTCTTAACCTCCTATAGCATCACGTTACAGACGAGATCAGAGCACAAAACACAAAGTGGATAAGTGAATTGTCACCAGTAATTCATAGAGTTGACTGGTAGATGCCAAGACTATTTTACTATTTTGGCTCATGAATAAACCTATTGTATGACTTTCCAAATCACTTCTGAGACTTAAGTTGGAGAGGATACAGCACGGTGGTGTGTGTGACGGGATCTGATGTCAGATGCCCCTGGATTCAAATCCTGGCTTCCCACTAACTACTTATCCTTCCTCGGTTTCTTCATCAGTAAAGTGGGGGATAATAACAGTACCTACCTGCTGGGTTGTTGTTGGATTAAATGCAATTGGTGGTGCATGGTTAACTTTTTATTAATCATAATATCTTGACTTCGGAGTTGTGCTTTCACTCTGCCTACATTGGGGGCTGGGGAGTTGAGGTCATTCTGTGTCAGGGGGGTTTAACTTTGCCCAGTGGAATCCCTTGGGGAGCCTTTGCAGATCTAGGATCAGGCCACACCAGACGGTGACATCAGAACCTCTGGGCTTGGGACAGAGGCCTCAGTACTTGGTGTAGCTTCCAGGTGATTCCAGTGAGCAACTACAGTTGAAACCCGCTGTGTTACCTTCACCACCGATGAGTGTGCGATTTGGAAGCAGAACCTTAGGTTCAAATCCTGGCCTTTCTACTTAGCCCAGCAACCTTGGGCAAATGCTTACCTCCTAAGTCTCAGCTTCTTCTCCTCTGTACCAGTAGTGGCAGGAGGCTAACACCCACCTCATATGAGAGCGGATGGCCTGTGTGCAGTATGTTCTTATTTGAGCATGTAACTGATCACTTTTCTTTATGTCATTTATTTGTGTGCTGTTTTTCAATTTTTTGAAAAAATCAGCTTTATCTTCAGTAGTCTGTAATCTCCTTGGGGACAGAACCTTATGGTCTTATTTTTTTTTATGCCCAAAGCACTTAAGACGCAGAGATAGGCCTTCAGAGTTTTAGAACTGGAATGAGCCTTAGATCTTGTCATCCACTTAAGGCCCTGAATGATACTTGCTGGTTAATTAATATGCAGGTGTAAAGAATGTGAAAGAGGAACCTGTGAATCAGATCGTTGTGCCCAGCTTAAGTCGAAAGTCCCAGTTCTGCCTTTCTCAGCGAACAGGGAGGGGTGGAGGAGGGGGATGGGGCATGTCATGCCTGGGACAGTGGGTGTCTCTGCTCATTCGGGCTCTCTGTTCACCCTGAGCTTCTCTCCCGGCAGACCCAGCCATGGCAGGCACAGGGAGCAGTTTGCCATGGGGCAAGCATCTGTTCAAAGTCATCCTGGTGGTCCTCGTGGCCCTCCTCCTCCTCCACTCAGCATCATCCCAGTCCCATCGAGACTTTGTGTCATCAGACCAGCAGAAGAGGGAGGTCCCAGTTGATCTCCTGAGCCAGATAGGTCGATTTGTGCGGGGAACACTGGATGCCTGGATTGGCCCAGAAACCACCCACCTGATTTCTGAGGTAAGGAAGGCATTCCCTGCCGTGATTCCATGAACTGAGGAAAGAGGAGATGGCCATGGCCGCCGTCTTGGCTCCACATCCTCTGTGTGTCGTAATCCCTGGGGCAGAGAGCCCCAGATTCCACAGGATGAAGCCAGACAGTTCCTGCCTCTTGCACTCCCTTTGTTTGATTCCTACCCGACGGCCTTTAGCTCCACCCCCAGTTTTCCCTTTTTCCTGCCCTTCCCTGCCAGAAAGGCTAGGAAATGAGCCATCTTTATAAACCTGTGTCACAGGTGACTGCAGAGTCTGACTTTGGTCTAAATCTGACCCGAAATCTAAAATTGGCAAACTGGCAAGACCTGAGTCCATTCCTTCACCTGGAGAGGTCGGGGTGGGGATGACACAGGGCCTTAAGGCAGGGCTGTCTCTTCCACCTAATGGATCCCAAGCTTGTCGCATACCTTTGATAGGTCGTACTAAACAAGTCACTTATAAAATCTGTAATACAGAAGAGCTGATTGTCTCCTTTTCCATGGAAAGATCCTAGCCCTTTACAGGTCTTACTTCACACACCTTCATGATTCCCTGGGAGAGTCAGAGTGCCCCAGTTTTATGGGGTGACTACTCCAGGGACTTGATGAGCACCACCATGCCCACGTTCCCCTGCAACTACCACTGCAGTATTCCTGCCAATCAGTTGAATTAGGGCCCAGATGTCCTGGGTTCCATTTCAGGAAGGAGAAATGGCCTGGTGTCCAAGCTTGTGCACTGGAAGGTGGCTGTGGAAGGGACCCCTCAGTCAGGCCCAGGCAGGCAAACCTCTGGCGAGAGGCGGGGTGGGGGAGACGTTCGTGGGAGGTGCTGGTGAGGCTCGAAGGAGGGATGATCATGACTTCTGGACTCATCTCCTACCTGGCTCTTCCTGCAGACCTTGACCCAGGTGATGTGGGCCGTCTCATCCGCCATCTCTGTGGCCTTCTTCGCTGTGTCTGGGATTGCCGCACAGCTGCTGAGTGCTTTGGGGCTCGACGGTGAGTGGCCGAGAACTGGTTAGGTCAGCTGAAGCTCAGCCTGTCTCTTCTTGTTTAGGGGAGTTTATCTTTTCAGGGTCTAGACTTTTTCCCCAGGAACACCTCCCGGGTTCCCCCAGAGGCCAGCATAAGAGCAGGCTAATATTGTCACCACCTGCCGGGTCATTGTTTGCTTCACGCCAGGTGAAGCATTATGCTCAGACATAGCACCTCATCTGTCACCCACAGCCCAGAGAATTACTCCCATTTCATAGATACAACAGGCTTGACCAAGAGAAGTAATGTCCTCCCAGCCAGCGGGAGCTGGAGCTGAGGTCTAAGCTCATGTCTCTGACCCTATGAAAAAGGATTTTCCCTTTTCAGAGGGGTTTAGCTCCTCCCCTTTTTGGGGTTCTTGACCACCCCCCTCCTCTCACCACTCCAGGCTGGCTGATTCTGTGACTCTCTCCCCTTCCAGGAGATTACCTCACCCAGGGCCTGAAGCTCAGCCCGGGCCAGATCCAGACCTTCCTGCTGTGGGGAGCAGGGGCCCTGGTGGCCTATTGGCTGCTGTCCCTGCTCCTTGGCTTGGTCTTGGCCTTGCTGGGGCGAATCCTGTGGGGCCTGAAGCTGGTCCTCTTCCTGGCCGCCTTTGTGGCCCTGGTGAGGTCGGTACCTGACCCGTCCACCCGGGCCTTGCTCCTCCTGGCCTTGCTCACCCTCTACGCCCTGCTGAGCCGCCTCACTGGCACCCGGGCCTCGGGGGCCCAGCTGGAGGCCAAGGTGCGGGGGCTGGAGCGCCAGGTAGAGGAGCTGCGCTGGCGGCAGAGGCGAGCGGCCAAAGGGCCCCGGAGTGTGGAGGAGGAGTGAGGAGGACGCTGGACACTGCCACGTTCATCGTACCAAAGAGCTGAGCTGCTTCTGGGTTGCACAGCCCTCCTCCCAGCCCCCTGCCCCTTCCTTGCCCTGTCTCTGAACCTTCCGAACCTTGATCTGGGCACCACACCCCTTAGCCGAGAGAGAGGAAGACCATTCTCCTGCTGGTCTTCAGGGGCCCTGTCTTCTGAGGTTCTCTGCCTGGGGTTGGCTCTCTTAACCCTCTCTCTGCTCCCAGCCTGTCTTAGCCAGGGCCGGTTGTGGGGCCTCCCTGCCAGCTTCTGCACCTGCTCTCAGCGAACATCACTGCTGTTGGCCTCCCGTGACTCATTTACCATCTTGCCTTCCTCCTGATGCCCTGGCGCTCCTGTCCTTCTCAGGCTCTTCCTTTGCTAAGTCCCCAGCTTCCTTCCCATTTGTCTTCTCCTTCCAGCTCAGTCTTCCAGCCAGACCACGGTCCCTCAAGGCATGCTCCTGTTCCTTCATTGCCCTGTGTGGGGAAGAAGCAGGGCAGATGGGGCTTGAGGGGAAGGGAAATGGGGAAGTTCCCCTGAGGGGCTGGGGCTGGGATGTACATGAGTCTGTTACAAGTGCCTTAATCCGAGCCAGTGGGGCCTTTTGCCTGCCCTCTGCCGTACTGTATGTAGGAAGGTGCACTGTGGCTGCTTTGTGTCCAGAGGAGAGTGGTTCCTCTCGGAATCTTGATTCCCCTTTGCTTGATTCCCCAAGCAAAAGATGACTGCTTCATAGGCTTGTGCCTGCAAGTAGGACCCTGCAGTGGCCACCAGATCCCCTCTGGGGACTTCAGAGACCCTGAAGGAGGAAAGAAGGGTCAGCTCCTTGTCTGTACCATGCCAGGCGGCTCTCCATCTCTCTCTCCATCACTGCCACCAAGGAGTTGCTGATCAGCGGCCACCAGCAGCCTGGGAGGAACACAGAACAGACACTAGAGATGCCCCCACAATCCCTTTCCCGTGTCATGCTCTGGGGGAGCCAGGGGAGCCAAGCCCTCCCCATGGGGCTCTCCTCTGGTGGAGGTGGGCATCCTCCTCTGCCAGACCCAGCACATGATGTGAAGAGTAAAGACATGCCCAGGTCTGTTGAGGTTTGATGTGGAATCACAGCTGCAGTGATAGATATTTTTATCAGCGCTTGGTGGTTGGTTTTAAATAAAGTGCACGCTATTTTATTGTCTTGTTCCGGATAAAATGTATTTACTCAAAGTCTGGCTGGCTTTGATTGTTCCCTCTCTAGCTAAACGTGTTTCCGTGGAGCTGCTCCACTCTGCTCCCTGCAGGAGCAGTGGGAATCTTGTGGAAAGGGAGGGAGCACAGAAGAGGGCTGGTACCAGGTACCCTTCCCTCCAAGAGTGTGAGGAATGAGGAGGGCATGCCCCCATTACCAAACTTCCAGGAACTGACCAGCTCTGTTGGAATCGTGTGCCTGTGGAGGGAGGTGGAGGGAAGTACCCCTTCCACCTCTGTGTGCAGGAGCCATGAAGGCTGGCCCCCAGCCAGAGAGAGGCCTGCCTGCCCTCCCTGCTTCCCCACCAGACAGGAGTTTCTACACCATGGTTCTCAAGCCAGCCTACAGATAGGAGCAGTCTTTTCGCGGAGGGGCCCAAGCGTGGTTTTCCTTGTTAAGCTGCACCAGTAGAGGCTAATGTGCAGCCAGATACCCCACTCAGCGTCTCTCCCAACACTGCCTGGAGGGCAAGGCTGGGACCTAGGAGGCAGGCCTTTGGTCAGGAGCAGAAACCAGCCCTCACCCTTTCTAGACCCACATGCTTCTCCCAGGAAGGGGGCTGGACACGAAACTCCTGCTGCTGCACCTGGAGTCCTTCCTCTTTCAGGGCAGGTCCAGACAGTTGTCACCTGGCTCTACTGGCCCCCTTTCATCCCCTTTCCACCTCTCAGCTCGGTGCCTTCTGTCGCTGAATTCTGGTTCTGATTCAAGTGTCAGATCCCTTTATAGGTGAGCCGCTTGTAGGGTGGGAGGCAGAGGAAGAGGCTTTTTTCTCCTTGGTCGGGAGCTTCCAAGAGGCAGTGAATAGAACACGTCGCCATCCCTCTTGGCAGAGGCGTTCAGTCCACTGCTGTTCAGTCCCCAGGGAAGCGGCATTCTTCCCGACCTCTAGCACGGGGGCGCTCGGGGGCTCCGGATCCGTAGGGCACTAGGACCCGGTGGGGCGGAGGGCAGCCCGTGTGCCGCGTTTGCTCCCTCCCACTCTCCAGCTCCAGCTCCCGCTCCATTGTCTGGGAACGGCGGCCGCGGGGTGGGCGGACCATCGGGGACCCAGTCGCCTGGGTCGGACCGGCTGGAGATGCCCGGCTGACCGCGGCCACCTGAGCCGCCCGCCTAGTTCCCTCCTTCCTTGGGAAGGATGTGCGCCCGGATGGCGGGGCACGCGGCAGCGGCTCCCCGGGGGCCCTGCGGCCCCTGGCTCTGCCTCCTGGTGGCCCTCGCCCTGGACGTCGTGAGAGGTCAGCGGGAGGGGAGGGCGGGGGCGGGGCGAGGGGCAGCTGGGCCCGGGCCGAGGCCGGGCGCGAGGGATGCCCGGGAGCCGGGAACCTGCGAGTTCTCGGACTAAACCCTGAGTGGGGTCGCCCCGCAGCACGCCCTGAGGGTTGGAGAGGTCTCACCCCCACGGGATCGTGCCTCCAGCCACGCGCCTCTGTTGCCTCCCTCACTTGCATAACCAGGCAACTCATTCCCGACCCAGGACTAGCCGGGTCCCCCGGCTCTCACCGCCGTCCCGCCAATCTCGCCGCGAGCTTCCCCTCCAACTGGGACGCTTAACCTGGCTGCCCGCTGACCCGCAAACACCAACTCCCTAATCTGCCGTCCAGAGAGCTGCAGCCCCGTGGCTCCTAGCCTCCTCCTGCCACCATCAACCCAGCTCCCACGGAACGGGAAGCAGCCTCTTTGCCTAGGACCTGCGACATCCACAACTGCTTTCCCCCTGCCCCACGGAGCTCTCTGACCTTGGAGTCTCCAGGGAATTCCCCATCCGTACCCTCCTGAGTCCTTATGGGGATCACTGGAAGAAGGGGCAACGTCTCCCCTGTGCCACCCCCCTCCCCATGGGAGTCAGACTGCCCTTGGCATGAGCTGAGGCTGCTAGGTAGATGATTCCACAGAGTTGGGGATAGTGAAGCATTCTCTGCCCCTCCCCTCTGGACAGGAGAGCCGAGCTCTGGCAGATGGGAGTCCGTGGGAGTCAGGCCACAGAGCATCCTGTAATTATCCAGGCAATGGGGTAGGAAGAGGACCAGAAGCCAGGGTCTTCCCCCAGGGAGCCATAGTCACTCACCTGTTACATTTGGGGGGAGGGGGGAGCTTCTCAGCCACATGCTCCTTGGTAGGGAGGGTCTTGAAGGAGGTTGAAACCATCAAGTCCCCCTGCCCAGCAGTGGAGAGAGATCTAACTGGTTCTAGGGCTGCTTTCAGCCACCTGCTCCCCTCCCCAGGGGACCCAGCAGGAGCCCTAATAACCCCTTATACAGGGCAATGAGGAAAGCCTTGTCACATCCATTATGCAGCAGCAATAACCCCTCCTCCAGACAGCGTGCCACCGTTTACAAAGCCCTCCCTCCCCCATCCACTGTGTCACTAAATGCTCATCCTACAGGTGAGGAAGCGGAGGCTCCAGGATGTTAAATGACTGACCCAAGCTTCATCGAGGGAGAGTTAGGAAGTAAACACAGGTCTCCAGCCTCCCAGAACATCCTCTCCAGGGGTGAGGGATTCTGTTATGAGTAAGACAAGGCTCCTGGCTGACAGACAGCAAGATAACTCATTCAGAGGAGGCAATCAGGGATGCAAAAGGCAGGGGACTGGTGGGAGGGCAAGCAATCAAGGAGGGTTTCCTTGGGAAGGAGGCGACATTCACTCTTGGCCTTGAAGGAGGAGGGAGGCGCCACCTAGCAGAGGAGGGGAGACCCAGTCTAGGGAGCAAGGCCCAAAGCAAGCAGTTGGAAAGCAGGAAGGGTGGAGAGAGGGATGGATGGTGGAGGGGCATGGTAGCCTAGTGCTTGGTGCCTGGGCTCTGACTCCCAGCTCCACCACGCTCCTGCTGTGAGACCTCAGGCAAGTCCTTGAACCTCTTAGCTTCATTTCCTACAACCATAAAATGGGATTAATAGTAATAGAAGCTAGTTTTCAGAGCTGTTACAAAACCTGGAAGATTTAATACAGGTAAAGTGTTTAAAATAATAGCTTGCATACAGTTAGTTTTCAAAAAATGTTAATTATTGTTATTAGACTAATAGTCTGTTGGTACAAACCAAATATGGTCTTAGGGGTCCTTTGCCCTTCTGATTGTTGAATACTCCCCAGGCTCATGTTCCCACGCCCCTCCCTCATCCCAGTCTTGCACTCCAATATGCTGTTGGGATGAAGAGAGTAAGTCTGGAAAACCAGTGCAAGTTGCCATGGTGATGACGCGGAGGGAGGATGGATGCCCAGCCAAGTCTGGCCAAGGACCTAGGGGCAGAGAAAGGGTCTCTACTTCTACAAAGCTCACCTCGTCACCGTCTTTTATCACATAGACCCTGCCTGGGGAGAGCTGAACCCCACAAATGCCTTGGTGTCGAGGCACGTAGGTAGGGGGCAGGAATGGGGGAGAAGGAGACTTTGAGAGGATTCTGCAGTTCTGCTGGAGGGAGGAAGGTTTGGGTCTGTGGAAAGCAGAAGAAAGAACAGCTCCAAAGCTGGCAGTCAGTCCTGGATGTAGATTCAATTCCTGGCCCCAGTTACCTCATCTGTGCAATGAGGAGATTCCCCTCCCCCACCACATCCTGGGAGGATGGGACATTTTTAACCCCTTTCTTCCTCCACTGCCCACGACTACCAGCCCTGGGACGAAGCCAGTTCAGTCCCTGCCTGTTCTGAAGCTGTCACCATCTCTACCCCTTCTCCCTCTGCAGTGGCCTGTGACCAGGACCCCCTGGACCCAGTCTACCTGCCGGCAGCCCTGGAGCTCCTGGATGCCCCAGAGCACTTCCGCGTGCAGCAGGTGGGCCGCTACCCACCTGCCAACTCCACTCTGGGCTCCAGATCTGAGACCTTTCTGCTTCTGCAGCCCTGGCCCAGGGCCCAGCCACTTCTCCGGGCCTCCTACCCACCTTTCGCCACCCAGCAGGTAAGGAGGGGTCCCCAGAGTCTCCTGGGCTCTCAAGACGCAGAAATGAAGTCTGCTGGGGTCTCAGAGCCCTTCCCAGCCCTGGCTGTGCTCCCTCTTTTCCAGAGGGGAAAAGGAGGCCCATAAAGTCTCTCCTGCCAGCCTGGGATATGAAGCCTGGAGTCCTGTCTTCCCCAACCCCCGCTTTGTTGAGCACCCTCTTCTCCCTCCAGGTGGTCCCTCCTCGGGTCACTGAACCACACCAACGGCCAGTCCCATGGGACGTGCGGGCCGTGTCAGTGGAAGCTGCTGTGACCCCAGCAGAGCCCCACGCCCGCGTCCTCTTCCACCTCAAAGGGCAAGATTGGCCACCAGGACCCAGCAGTCTGCCCTGTGCCCGGCTCCACGCCACACACCCTGCAGGCACAGCTCACCAAGCCTGCCACTTCCAGGTGAGCGGGAGGGCCCACCTGGGCTGGCCCTGTCACCGTGCCAGCTGCAGGGTGGTCCCGGAGTAGGAAAGAGAGGGCTCACCACTCCTGGGAAGTTTGGAGGTCACGGACCACTTGACTCCACTCCTGCTCTGCTAGCTTTCACGGGGTCCTGTGAAAGGGTTATTTAGGGCCCCTTAAGGGGTTCAGTCCATTGTGACTTTGGGCAAGTAACTTAATCTCTCTGAAACTCAGTTTCCTCATCAGTAAAATGGGGTAATAATTCTTCCCTTCTGTGGAGTTGGAATAAAGAATAATTGAAATGAATGCAAGAATGGCTTTTAGCACAAGGCCAGGCACCAGGGCAGGCCCTCAGTGAGGGTGTATAATATTGTTAGCATTACTTTTATTATTGTAGTTTCCACTATTTTGGAGTCTCACCCAGGAGTCCACCGGAGAGAGGTGTTCTGTGGGCTCTGGGATTCTGAGAAGCCTGTGTTGTAGTCAGGGCGGACCCGGAGCACGTTTAGGGGGGAGGCGTTGGGATTGGCTCACTTTGGAATGAGATTATTCCTAAAGAGAAGAGAGGCCAGCGGATGCAGTCTGAGACCCAGCCCCAGTCATGTCGCCGGTTGGCTGTGTCACCTGGGATGCGTCTCT